AAACAAGAAAAAGACCAAGTAGTGTATGCTCTAATTACACATTACACATTTCTTTAATAATTACTTGATGTAATTATAATTTAAAAATATAGAGAATACAAAATGCTTTTATCATGACATTTTTTGTAGAAAAATAAATTGTTTCAAGAGATCCATTGGATTTGGCTTTTGGTACATCAGATTTCACTGATAAATAGCAATGTTTTTTGGTCATCAAACTGGAAATCAAACACAATTTTTTAAATATTCACATATTAATCCACGGTTTTAATAATTTCAAAGTCAAATTCCAAAGAAGTTCTTGATGTTCTTCCGATAAAGAATATTTTTTCTTTCAAATAAATTCGCCTCCTAATTCCACATTTGTTCAAATTGTTCCATTTCACTCCGCGTCCCTCTGGTGAGCAAAATATGTCTGTTATTTATTTATTTATTATTTTTATTTAAAAGTAGAAACGAAAAATCTATAAATAATAAAATTAAAAAATTGTTAATTTTAATTAACATTTATTACTGATCTCAAAATATTAAAAGTTTGCAAAGAAAATGTTTACACCGTTGAATACAGACACGCTTTGTAGTTCTGTCTGAATCATCGAAATGATAATTTTATAGTTTTCTTTTTAACTCTTTCCGCCCTGTGGGCCCTAAAAGGGACTCTTTTTAGCAAGCCCATTATGGGTTCGGCCAGGCTCACAATAGGGCGGCCGGGTGATGAGGGACAAGACTCGACACATTCGGACGGACCTCTCCCAAAAAATTCCTGGGGTTTTTTCGCACCGTTACTACCAACTTTTAGTTGACTTTTCTGCATGAATGGCAGCATTATCCCATTGAAATTGCCAATTTTCTCTCCCAATAAGTGATCCCAAAATTATTAAATTTTGATACAACAGTTGCAATGGAACAGGGAGGTCTTAAAACTGAAAACAAAAGCCGCAGTCGCTGTCTCTAAGTTCAAAAAATGAGTCGCCTCGCCTGCGAATACTCGCTTTGATTTACAGAAAATTCATGCAGATACACCGAATGTCCATATACAGTAGAACCTCCATTATCCGGATTTTCGATTATCCGGATTGTTCAAAATAAACAGAAATTTTACGAATTTGCTGATTTGCACTTGGCGAATTACGACACTGTTTATGTGCGTGATGGAATGCATAACTTTTTTTGTTTCAACAACGTCTCACCCGGCACAGTGGTCGTAAACTCTTAAATATATTTTACGTAGTAATAAAAATATAACTTGACATACTTATTTATAAATATTTTATATTCAAATTACATCATTTCTATGACCAAGGGTGGCGTAAGGCATGGACGACGTGGGCCACCGCCTATGCCTGGCGGTCCGAAGGGCCTCGCGCCTCGAAGGTTTATACATTAGTTAAAAGCCGTGAACGGGACGAAAAAATTTTACTCGTCGTAAAACGATAAATAATTTGTCAAATTTTTATTCATAAAAATGCAGTTTCAACTGCTTTTTATTTTATTAAATCCGTCTTCTTGCGCTACCAGAGGGTCTTTTAAACAATAGGTACTCTGTTAGCGTTGGACAGTAGTAGTCCAAATGCAATACGAACGTTTGTTTCTTGAAAATTTGATTACGATTTAAATGCAGTATTTACTTTTAATCTTACCGATATGTCATCGAAAAGAAAACGTGTTGTATTATCATTAAATGTCAAATTAAAGTATTTGTTTCGATTATCCGGATTTTTCCTTATCCGGACTACCTTCATCCCCAATTAGACCGGATAATCGAGGTTTTACTGTATATATATATGTATAACAAACTTTTTTTCATTAATAAAAGTGCATAGTTGCAAAATAATTCATTTTTATTGTTTGGGCTACAAACAGTTCAAATCCGCTACTTTTGGAACACAACCACGCCACTTTTTAACCATCAGATCTGGCAACGCTGGCTGTGTAAAACGTGTGAAAACGTGTAGCAGAAGGCATTGTTACACGTGAGAAACCGTTAACTCAATTTATTTTAGTTTTAATCGTGTTAAATCGAACGTTCATCTTCATAAACTATAAATAAAATATGTAAGTATTTAATTAGGTTTTTTTAATTTAATAATTAAATGACTTTTAATAGAAAGTTGATTGCCATCGAATTAAAATGCGCGGCCTAGGACGTTCTGATTTAAACTGTACTTTTCGAGTTTCTGAAAAGATCGTAATTCTCATATTGATTTAATGTTTTGTAATTATTTCAGATTTAAAAAAAAGAAAAGAAAGAAAGAAAGATGAAGCCGTTAAAGGAAGATAATGGTAAGAAAGTAATAAAATCTCCTAACACGTGGCACCAGATACTCAGTTTTAAACGTTGTCGGGAAAGTTAAGCAACTCGGTGCTGAACTTTTTTTAAATGGCAAATTAACTGTTAAATTAAATTTTCATTTTAACTGTTGTCGAATTATAATGTGGCCGAACGCCATATTTTGTATATATGTTAATTTAAGTTTAGTTTAGTTTTTATCTTTTTTCTTTGTTCTATTCTATTCTTTGTTCCATTGTTCTATACCTTCTAGAATTTTTTCCCTAACCCTTTCCCTTGGGCGGTGATAACTAATTCTTAGAACAAAAAGAAGTGCTTGTCGGGGCTAAGAAGTGCAGTAACGGACACTCTTGGCAAAGATTATCCTTTTTCCAAGAAAAAGAAACCAGAATTGGAATTCCACCCAAAAATAATGCGAAACTCGGGTATCCACTTTCTTCTACTCCTATCTCTTATATTTTCTATATCTATCACCTCCCTTCTTCCATTGTATTAAGTTAGTTTTTAAGCCTGTCATAGTTTGTTTTACTTCTATCACAAGAATTTTAATTAAACATTTTATTTTTTCTAGATATTGTGTTATATTTATCTCCAATAAGAAATACGTGTGAAATTTGTGATAGTGGGTTTGAAGTATCAAATAGTTACGGAGCATTCACTTGTGATTCGTGCGCTCACTTTTTTCACTTAAATACAGTGTATGTAAGAGAATTATTTTGTAAAACTTGGAGTGGAAAATGTTCAGTCGTCAATGGTGAGGAACTGTGCAAATTTTGTCGTTTAAACAAATGTTACGATGTCGGAATGAAATACGAAATAATCACAGGTAAATGAAATTACGATTACTAATTTGAAAATGCATTTAGAAAGGTCGTAGTATGAAATTGTCGATGTTTATTATTATTAGATAATCCAAATTATATGGGATGTATCGTGCCTGTTTGTGAAGAAAGATTTCAGGTAAATCACTTTAAAATCTTAAATTGTTATGAATTAATTCAAAAATAATTTTAAATACTTAAAATATTTAAGTAGTTTGTTTAGTCGTGAGAATTAAAAACTTTGCGTAAAGTCTTCTATGAAAACTTGTTTAATAATTAAAGATTTTCCTACACAATGAGATAACATTACATTGAGATAACGTGATGTCATAAAAATAAGACTTTCAGGGTGATTAAAAGTATTTAAAGTATTACTTTTGAATGCTGTCTGGAAGGATATATTACAGTCCAAACGCAACCAAATTTTGTATGCCGACGTTACAAGACCGAGGAAATCTCTTCTGCGTGTCCTGTAGAAGAGGTGGCAATGACCAAAAAACAGGTGACAACTAAGTTGTTTGAGTGAAACGATATGACAATTGGAATATAGTAACATAAAAGATCGGAAGGACCGAGACTACTCATCCGGCTGACAGTGCCACAAGTTTCCAAGGGGTGAGTTTTCGAACTAAATTTTATCTGCCGATGACTCTCTTCCTCGTGGTCTGAAACGTCGGCGTGTAAAATTTGTATTGTGACTGTAACATATCCCTCTAGACATTGTTGGATAGAAATACTTTAATTGCAAAAATCTACTCTTAAATACACGTGCTTTATATTATATTATATGTTTTAATATACAGTAGCATATCTATTTTATATTTTAAATGCTTTTATGATTTTATATCTACTGTAAAATATTATAATATATTTTATTAATTTCATCAACAGATTAACTTTGAAAAAAATCGGAAGTTGGCGTTAAATCAATGCCTGATATATATGGATGAATATTATTTTTATAAATATTTTATATTCAAATTACATCATTTCTATGACCAAGGGCGGCGTAAGGCATGGACGACGTGGGCCACCGCCTATGCCTCGCGGTCCGAAGGGCCTCGCGCCTCGAAGGTTTATACATTAGTTAAAAGCCGTGAACGGGACGAAAAAATTTTACTCGTCGTAAAACGATAAATAATTTGTCAAATTTTTATTCATAAAAATGCAGTTTCNATTCAGTAATGCGGTTTATCATTGATGAGACAGAATTATTAATCAATCAATAATTAACGTTATCGATTGAAGTCCAACGCGTTTACAATGGGGGAACATAAATATTAAAACATTATAACAAATATCAGTTATTTAACTCCTTACGGGGGAATATGTTTGGTTTGAAATAACGTGACTTTCGGTTTGCATCGAAAGTTGATATACAGTTAATCGGGGTCTCCTGCCCCTAAGGTTTCCATGTCTGGGCTCGTCTTTCATTTATCTCACTCCATTCTCGAGATTAAGGAAAGACGGACAGACGGGCGATAGTGTGAATTTATGTCTACAAGTTTTTTCAAGTTACAGCCCAATAAAAATTGCACTATATTAAGGCTAATAGATTTTCTACGCGGTTTATTTTTAAACATGGTCAATTTTGTGAAATTTTGCAGGAAGGTTTGTGTATTAAGGGGGTTGATGCTTTTAAATTTTGGTGGTGAAAGATCCAGGGATGGGGAGATAGAGAGAGGGTGTCATATCTCGAGTGGGGGTCGAACTTAAAATGAAGATTTTATTCGTTATTAACATTTAGACTCGTACAATTTGGAATTTTGTTGTAAGGGACATTTAAAAGTTATTTAATTTTCTTTTCAAGATTTAACGCTGTACATAGTATAGAAATTTTCAAATTAAAGGTTTTCCTTATTAATCCCGATTTTTATTTTATTTTATAGGAGTGTATAAGATCGAAGTCATGCGTGTACGGTGCAATCATGCAACTAATCGAGAGATCTCTTTATGTTTACCGAGCGATTAGACTACACAATTGTTTTATATTTAATGTGGAGTCCACAGATATTCTCTTCGTAAATTTAATTCGATATTTAGTTGCTTTTCGAGACGATATTAGAAATATCACAGAAAATGTGGAAGAATTTTACGTTATGAAACTTCAGTTGGCATTACGAGACGGTACTTTATATTGTTTGTTACTTTATTCATTTCCTTTTAGACGTAACGTAAGCCATCCTTTTTCTCTTTAGATGTAGTAATGATGGACACAAATTTAACAGTTAGAAGACGTTCGCGTAAAATGCTGGAAAATATTGCGAAAAAAGTATTAAAATTGATGAAAGAGAGTTCGGGACATTCCCTCTTCGAAGGTAAAGAAAACTTTCAGGAAATTGAATCGTTAAAGTAAGTATTTATTGCTTTCTCTTGTTTAACAAAGAGATTTTCTCATTCCACAAATATATTTACAATTTTTCCAGCTTGTTTCGTTATTCTTCGGATATTCCAGAATATTGTCGTCCATATAATAATATAAATTTTTGCGTTAAAATATGAATGTAAAACTCTCGTAATTTTATATACTCCTCTTCAAATTTGAATGCAATTGACTTTACAAGTTTTAAATATTTTATGCCTAAGATAAGGTGTTTATATACATTATATACAGAAAGATAAAAATAATTTTAAAATATGGTATTCTTTTATACTTGAATGGATTTAAGAGATGGAAATCATCACTCGAAATTTTTACTGTTTTTAATCAATTTGTCGACAAAATGTTTTGTGTTTTATAATAATTTTTATTGTTTTTAAAGAGAATAAATAGTTTAATATTTGAAAAATCTGGGTTGTTGAATTCTTTATGAATCATTTTATCACATTGTTATAATGGAAAATAATTTGCTCTTGAGAATTTATCCAAAAATGTAGGGGTACCCGGGGCGGAATGGTGTAGCTAAATAAGTTAAAATTATGTCAACAATAAAAGAAAAATAACAAAAATATTACATTACATCTTTTATTTATTATATTTGGCACATAATTATTTAAATTAGAGTTTAAAAAATCAATAATTTTGTATGAAAAATAAATCATTAAAAAAAATCTTGCCCACGTCCCGTTTCGCCCCTCACTCGGGGCAGAATGGGGTATGAGATTAGTGCTCAAATATTAGAAAAAAAAACATTAGTCTCGTTGCTTATAAAACTCGCAAACCAGCGCAGAATCGTCATCGTCGCTGTCAAAACCCGTACAAGACATACGAGCCCATTTTTTGCACGCGACAAATGAACATTAACCCTTAATTGACTGTGAGTAAGCCTCGGTGCAGTAAAGGCGAGTCGTATTATCTTCTCCTTCCGAGCAATCCTCCCCTTGTTCTACTTTTTTACTAGACTTTGTTTTTTTCCCCTTTTCCTTTACGGGAAACCGTCCCATTGTGCCCCAAAGCATACGCTTCTAAAAATCAAGTAGAGAAAAAGTTTACGATTACTTTTTGCGTTATTTCATTTTTAAAATACAAACAAATCTTTAATAAACTATATAAATTTGGTTAAATTATAAAATATACCATATACTTTCATTGTTTTAATGTCGATACACTTGTAATTCCATCAAAAAATCACGACGTAAGACGTGGCGTGCTGTGACATTTGATGATAGGGAGGCTGGTTTATGTAAGAAGCTGACTTCCAGGGCAATCAGTTAATTGCGCGTCAGTGATGGTCTAAAGTCTATTCGTATTCGTTTGTTCGATAAACCAGTAAAAACCGTAGACTTCTCTAAATTAGTAAATTAGACTTATCCTAAATTAGTAAATATAAGTATGACAAGAGGAAAAAACAAACGAAAAAACCTCTTGCCTTCTTATCCTACGTTAGTAATATTCTTCAGAAATAGCAAAGGAAAAAGTCGTTCGCATCTCTTACGAAGCGACGCTTTTTCCTTTCCATCTTTGTCCACACCGAACGAGAGGATCCCACTCGTTGGAAAAGGGAGGAATGATCGAAACATTCCTCCCCTCTCAGTGCGTCAAAGATGATGTCGTCAACATGGAGACATTTCACCTTTCGGAACACGTCCGAATGGCGAAATGTTTCCTCTCCGTTCAACGCGGAACAGAGAATGCTGTCGACATCCGCTATTCCCGAAGGCGATCCCGTGAAAAAAGAACCCCTTCCGCAATCGACGGAAGAGAGTTCCTCTCCCGCTCAAAGGGGGAAAAGACCCTCTCTTCATCGATTGCGGAAGGAAAACGCCCTTCACACTTCTTCATCTTCTTGGGCCGCAGCCAACGCCAAAACCGCCAGCTCTTCATTCTGTAAAGAAACAAATATATATATATATTAATGAGATACGGAAATACTTAACGCAGAAAAAGATCAAGATTATACTCACGGCGGATCGGAATTCGTGTAGCCAGGCCCGCCGTAAGCGGCGTGCAAGGCGTGCACCGCACGCGGGCGGCACGTCCAGGGGGCGGCAAAGAACCTTTCTGGCAAGCTCAGCATAGGTAGTCGTAGTTAAACAGGGGGCGGCATAATCGGTATTGCACACGGGCGTTCAAACAGCTAGCGGCGCCCCTGCGTGTGGCTCGCGTTAGATCCTACCGGAAATTGCTAGAAGGTTCGAACTGCATTTGCAGTAGAGACGACCGACCCGCTCTTGCGTATATCTGTATTTATTTGTACGACAGAAAAGTAGCCATGCGCAAAAGGCACTCGTACTCGATCTCGAGCCCAAGTCGAAACGAGTGTTTCGTTCTAGATAGGGTTTCTCATTTTCCGGTCATTTTGCTTGTCCCGGGATCCCGGGATAAAAGTGAACTGTTTCCCGGAATCCCGGGAAATTCCGGGATAGAATTAATTATTTTTAAGGTATACAAAATATCTTGAAATCAAATGATATAATTATTTTCCATTTTTTAAAGTAATTTTAAAGTTCTGTAACCTCCAAAATCATATTAATAATGCTGTGTAAGGTCTATAGGCCTATAATAAAAATTACCTTTAAATAACGTAGAAATTTTCACAAATAGAAAAAAATTAATTAAAGTTTGCTGGAAACTGCATA